ATTTGCTTGGATTAGAACGGGGCTCTGATACCAGATGATAGAAGCCTAGAATTAGGTTCTATCGGTTTCTAGAGATTTGGAGAAAAGAAGCGAATCCCCGAGGAAGTGATTAGCCCTTCTTGAGGAAAATAGGAAGGCAAGAAGAAAATCGGGAATTAAGAGGGTGAAGGAGGGAGGAGCTGCCGAGGCGGCAGTGAAGGGAGGGGAAGTTGGGGTCGACCGAGAGAGAGGAAGAAAGAGGAATTAGAGAGTGCTTTAGGGTTTAATCTTGCTTAGTGGTCTAATCCCACGTACAAGTAGTTTATATAAAAATGGATAATTCCCTACTGCTACCCGACTTATAAGATATTCCCAATTTCCCCCAACAATTCTCGAAAAGTCACAAAATAACAACCCGACAAAGATAATCCGAATAAGCAAACTATAGAAAAATGCGGGTTTCTATCACAAAGAAACGGCGTGTTGAAAAATTACTTTTTCGTCAAGGGGAAGAGTGTCGATGTTGTTGTATACAACGTTGTGGTCTCTAGTTAAATGCCTGATTTCATAAGTCAATAAGAGATCTAAGTTAAGAATGTTCACTTTCAACTACCGCACTACATTACTGAGCAGCTCCAGATTTTCAGCTCGAATATCAACTCAACCAAGCTTGTCGCACGAGGTCAATCCAGAGTCGAATCGGCCTAAGAACGAGCAATGTTTAACTGTTTCATGCAAGTATGTTATACCCCTAGCGTAAACTGTAACATGTTGGATCATACTGTAACTGGCCCCACATCAATTTTGCAATGAATTTGAGGCGACTAGGATCCTTATCCCAGTCCCTAGTCGGCTAGTCCTACTCCTGTGTCCGAGAAAGCTGTACATCCAATGTATTTTTTCCCAGAATGTCCTGTTTAGTCTAAGAAACATATGACAACTAGAGATGGCAACGGGTCGGATCGGGGCCGGATACTAGATATCCGATCCCCGCCCGGATAAAGTTCGGGTAATCCCCGTACCCGCCCGAACCACAAGAACGGATAGTGAACTTCATACCATGTCCATCCCCGAATGGATACCGGGTAATACCCGATCTCCGAAAATACCCGACTTAATTGATAAAGACATATTAATAAAGCATAACCATGAAACAAAAGTTGACAATTAATTAATTCGGGGAATAAATGAAAATAGCAAATTGATGAACCATGAAATAACAATCCACGATTCATCCAAAACTCTCCAAAACCAAATAGTTTTCTTCTCCCACAAGGTAAAGCCAATGTTGGTATTGCATATTGTTCCAACGCAACACTTGATAAAGAAAAACATAAAAGAACTCTAAATAAAAACTCCAAATTGCTGCAACATCTTCATGAATCATGACATCAGCAACTCCTTGTGGGAAAACCAGCAAAAAAACCAATCCTTAGCTCCATTCAAGCAACCAATCACCGCCAGCAACATCAGCAAGATAAACCACCAGTAAATCACCAGTCCTTAACTCCATAGTCCACCACTATCTAGAAGCATGCATAAACAATGAAGAACATTACTTAATAATTTCCAGCAACACCACACTAAAAAGAGCAGCAACCTTAAAATGAAACTAAATAAAGAACATTACTTACCAATAACAAGACACTGAGGAGGGAGGAGAGTAGCACCCCTTCTAATGTTAATCAATACTCATCCAAGTGACATGTTGATAAATTCTTGATCAATTGTTGTTCTACAAAGATAAACGAAAACAGAGGTTAGAGCAGTCAACAAGATAACAAAATAAGAGATAATTGAAGATTAATCCAAAAAAAGAAATAAAAACAAACAATAACCTTCATCTTCATTTTCAGGTTCTATGTTCGGATTAAGAATTGAAGATTGATCCTCCAAATGAGTAGCATTAGAATCTGATGTATAAGCAAATAAATAAAAATCAGCAGCTTGTAATATAAAAAGAGTTACAGGAAAGCATGATAAGAATAGTTTTACCTATCATAAATGAATTTTGGAGCCAACTCCTTGTGCACATTAATACCTCAACAGTTACATAGTCAAGTCTACTACGATGAGGGTCCAATAATCGACCTCCAGCACTGAAGGCTGATTCAGAAGCAACAGATGTAACAGGTACAGCAAGTACATCTCTTGCAATCTCTTGCAAGATGGGATACTTAATCCCATTAAATTTCCACCATAGTAAGATATCAAAATCTGCAGACCGAGGAAGGATTTCCTCATTCAAATAATTCTCCAATTCGGTTTGGCTTGGTGTTGCCCTTGATCTTTTCCTCTGTTTAACATACATATCAAAGTCCAAATCTGTACTAGAAGCATCACATGATGGCTGGCCACCAGTACCAGCAGCAGAGAAAGAAGACTTTCCATTTTGTTTGGACTGATATTCCAATAGCAGATCACCCAAAATCTCCTTTATTTTCTTCACATCCAACACACACTCATCATCCCCAAACTTCTCAGCATAGTACTCCACGATCTGAATTTTGTATCTAGGATCCAACACAATAGCAACTGCCAAAATTTCATGAATGGCACCCCAATACTTGATGAACTTATCCCACATTTTTTCGGCCATCTTAGAAATCACAGGATCAGGATCACAAAGCCATTCAGAAAGTTTAAGCTTCACATCACAAATTTTAGTGAAGAACACATTGGCAGTTGGAAATTTGGATCCAGAGAATAAATCTGATATGTGGCTAAAAACTTGCAACTTTTCACAAACCATGGAAGCAAACTCCCAATGAGAAGATGTAGGCAAAGAACAATATTGAGAATCACGTTGTTTCAACCTAGCAAACAACTCCTTGTATGGTATAGCAGCAGCAAGCATGGAATAAGTTGAATTCCAACGAGTAGGGCAATCTAAAATCAGTTTTTTATATGGAGGACACTTTCCATTCATTTGCTTTGCTGTCTCTTTATAAAACTCAATTCTCTTGGGAGTGGCAGACCAATAAGCAACACTTTCACGAATCTTTTCAATTCCATCTTTCACCACATCCAAGCCATCTTTCACAATTAAGTTTAATATATGGGCAGAACACCTCATATGAAGCAAATCACCATCCCTCAACAAGTAAGACGATACCAATTTCCCCTTAACCTTCTCAATCATAGCATCATTCGTGCTACAATTATCCAAAGTTATAGTAGATACCTTAGTGTCCACGTTCCATCTCATCATGCACTCGGTCAGATAATAGGCCAATCTATCACTTGTGTGTGGGGTTGGAACATACAAGAAGCTGCAAACCAGAAGAAACTTGGGTTAGTTGAATGATCCCATTACCCAAATACAAACAAAAGAAGACAAAAATTAAAGATTACACATCATACCTTAGAATGTGACTTCGAAGAGCCCATGAATTGTCAATGTAATGAGCTGTAACAGCCATATAACCTTTTCTCTGGTTGCTTGCTGTCCACATATCAGTGGTGAGGGCAATTCTTCCCTTATTATTGTCAATAAACTTCTGAATCCTGCTCTTCTCAGAAGTATAGATCTTAAAAATATCCTTCTTAATAGTATTCCTTGATGGAACACTAAACAAAGGTTGAAGAGAGCACACAAAGCGTTTGAAATACATATGATCCACCATTGATAAAGGATACTCATGCATAACAAGGGCAACAGCAAGCTCATTCCTAGAAACTTCGTCATCAAATTGACTTGCTACCATTTCCCTTTTCCCCTTCGCAACAAAATTAGGGCCAAGTACTTTTTGTTTTCCTTCTAGAATCCTCCTCTGCATACAAGTCTTAACATGACTTTTCAAGTGAGATGTGCCATTCCCAGATTCACCACCAAGCAACTTCTTGCAATAGTTACACTTAGCTTTGATTGCACCCTTAACTCTTACTTTCGTAAAGTGTTGCCACACTACACTTTTAAGACGTCCCAACTGAATTACCTCTTCATCAGGAGTTGTTTCAATTTCATTGAGATTCACAGATGGTTGTGCTTGAATACCTTGTTGATGGTTAGTAGTCCGTTGTGTTGAACCAGGACCAACAATCACAGCTTCTTCACTTCCTGGTTCAGGAGCTACAGGCAACTGTTGAGAAGCGGCAGCATTGTTTTGGGCCATATTAACCTGCAATAAGTAGACGAAATTGAATTGTACTTAATCAAAACCCAGATAACTCATGAAGAACAATCATCAATCTTTTCTCGTCAATGCCCAATAAATGGATAGATTAATACAAATAAAATCCGAAAATTTGAGACTCAATACAACATAATGAGAAAGAAGATTAGAAGAAGTCTGACCTTAGAGGATGAAAGTTGTTTAGGTTGAGGCTGGGTTTGCAATTCTCTCTTTTGCAGGGATTGCTTTTTTTTAGATCATGAGAATCGCTGAATTAGAATTAGGATTTTGAGCCATCATCAGCTATATATATAGCCAGCGGCAGCAGAGCAAGTGCTAGCTGTTTCTCATCCATTGAAGAGTTTTATCGATTCTCTAACTGCCTCATCGGAACTTAGCAGTAAAAGCTTGGAAAAGAAAATTATAATTAAAGGGTAAAGGAGTAGCAGAGTATATGGATGGGTACTGGAAGATGGAAATCGCATGCTCTAGGTAATTAATGGAAAAGAGAAGATGAGAGGCCATTGATTTTTCCAAGCATCACGATTCACAGAGTGTTTATTAGGGTAAGCGGCGCATGCTTGGTGGAGTAAAGGTTTAGAGGAAGACAGGTCTCGAGAAGGATTCGGGCACGGGTTCGGGGCGGATAGTATGAAATCCGTCCCCTACCCATCCCCGATAATTAATGTTTCGGGTATTATCCATCCCCTACCCGGATCCAGTCAACACGGATTTTACCCGTTTTGACCGGTTCGGGTTTGGGCGGGCAACCGGATCCATGGATTTTCCTGCCATCCCTAATGACAACAATAGCCAAAAAGAACAAGAGAGCCGAATGGATCCAATCTGCAGACTGAGAATTCAAGCATAGCAATTGAACAACACCAGGGAATTTAAGAAATCCAAGCATCCTGCAATCTGTACATTCGATTTCGACGTTCCAATGTGAAATCAACGCCATGAAATCAACGCCATAGTTTGTCGGTATGAATATTGTTATTCATTATGGTATATACAATATCTTTGACGGGCACATTCAATTTTGTGATGAAGGATGGTGACTGTACAAAGAAACTGCTGCTGGCTACTAACATTTTTGGGCAGCAGCACAATGAAAAGATATTACTTACACAAAAAGTTTTTCTTTTTTCTATTTCTATTTCTATTTCTCCTTTTCCTTTTTTTTTTCTTTTTCCTTTTCTGTTTTTAATCCTGTGCTTTCTCATTTAGCTTGTACACTTGCAAAAACAGAGCCGATTCTTCACAGTTGAGATATCCAGAGAGAAGCATTCACTGATTGAAATTTACTGGTATATCATCCTGCGGCAAACCTGAACTTGTCTGGTCCAACAGATGAGGAGGAGCAACAAGCCGCTGTAGCGGCTTTAGAGCTACGGTAAGCTGTGCAAATGATGGCCTCAGATTTGGATCCCTGCATACCACAAAGAGGATGACAACAGACTGAGTCAGCCAGCAAGCAAGAATGATTGATTATTCTGTCAGGGATGGCATATGAATTATATAATGTGTTTAGATTGGTCGTAAGCCTTGCTTACGTCTGCCAACACTCCCAAATGATCCTTGAAACTAAGGGATCTAGTTCTTTCGGTATTTCAAGTCGACGGTTCTGGAAGCCGACTGCACCCACAACTTGCATCGGATTCATCCCACTCCAAGGGATTCTCATCGTCGAAAGCTCCCATAGAATCACTCCAAAACTATATACATCACACCTGCAGGTACCGACCAGCCAGCCATTCAGCTTACAAATAATAAGAGCTCAATTATGCTGACACAAAAGACAACCAAACTTTGTGGGTTCTAATATGTTCTGATACACCTATTATCGCCAAGGCGATCAAAATTGAATCTTTCCTTTTCTAATGATCAGCCATTTAAAAGCTCTGCGCCATGCAGTTTAGTGTGTTCCTTTTGAGCTCAAAGACCCTGATCCTTAAACGTTACATATAAATCGTTAAAGACACAAATGAATGCATATTAAAAGTAAAAGACATGAGATTAAAGTACGAGAAAACAATCATCAACTCACTTTTCGTTCGAGGGCTCGTTGCGAAGTACTTCGGGTGCCATCCATTCAGGCTAACAACACATCACACAAGTAATCAGCACCAAGATAAGTGTAGTATGAGGCTCATTAGCACACAAAAAAAGTATAGGGGCACATTCATTCTCACAGTTCCTGCTGTTGACTTGGATGACAGAAATGTGTTGTGCTTCAAGCGTGATAAACCAAAATCACAAACCTGCATAAACAGCAAAATACTACAATATCTCAGAAAGTAAAACCAGAAGAATACTTTTAACTTAAGTTGCTACAACACAAACCATGTAGGAAGTAGGAACCCCCTTAATCACTCAGAAGAAGCAAAACCCACAAATTCGTGGCCACATGGAAACACGGAACATTCACTTGGTATTTACCTTAACATTCCAGTTTTTATCCACCAAAAGATTAGGGGACTTCAAATCCCTGTGAACAATTGTTGGCGAGCTGCTATGCAAGCAGTTCATACCTCTTGCCTACAACATCCAGTGAGAACTAGGAATAAAATACATATAGTGTGAAATGTTTAATGAAGAATCAAAGGTGACATAGCCTACTGTACCACATCAAGAGCCATTTTTATTCTACGCCTCTCGTCAATCTGACACTGAGGACGGTGGAGAATTCGGTATAAGCTTCCCCTAGAAACCACAAACAAGACCCGAATGAATGGAGACAGTGATGTACAAACAAGGTTTCATCCCAGGACCATCAAAATTATATAAAATGAAACCAAATGTCCTAGAAATCGGTACGCGGAGAGGAGGTGCACCTGGGGAGAAATTCAGTAATTATGGAGAGATTTGGCGGACGAGTAACAGCACCCATGAAAAGAACGACATTTGGATGACGCAATCTGCGCATTATCCGCACCTTAAATTACAGACCAAAAATCAGAAATCTAGGGTTAGTAACTCTCAAGTCAGATTAAGAATCAGAACTTCATTGACATACTCTTTTTGTATTGATGTATGTACGCCCTTAAAAGAAAGTGAAAGTGTTAATATGTAAGAGAATTGCATAGTAAGCAGTTATCTATTCAGAACTAAGTAAACAACTAGCCTAGGTCACCACTACTTAATCACTAAATACATAATGGATGCAAGCTAGTTCTTAGCCTTTGTTTCTGTTTAATGCTTCCACCAGTTGTCAGTTTAGAAACCAGTGCATTGCTTACTTCTCTTTTAAATTCTGCCAAAGCCGCTCCAGAGAAACCCTGATCTAGGAACTTCTTGACAGCAACCTCCTGTTATTTGGGCCACAAACAACCAGAAGATCAAACAATCAAACAAATCCTCGAGTTTCTTAAAGAATACAAAATGCACCAAAATCATGCCCAAAAGCAGTAGCTTAATCTATCCCATAGGAGAAAATAGAGGATGATGGCAATCATAACACGTGTCCTGTAGTTGCCATTATGAAGCTCTACTAATAACACTCAATTCACATAGATTCCATATGACTGATAAACATGAAGACTATGCAAACAATTAGGAGCTGAAGAATCTCATAGCTGATGTAAGATATCAAATGCAGGAGATGAAGGAACTTAAAACCAAACCCATACATGTTCATCTACTGCTGAGCAGGAAACATGACTATTATGTAAACAATTATGAAGTCTACAATCCCAGGATATTGAATGATCAATGGTAAGCTGGAATACCAAAATATGAGACAGATAGCACATCCATACATTTCTTTCCTGAATGTTTTAGTTAAAGAAGTTTACACAGGTATGTAGAACAAAAAAGAAAGGCAGACTCACCGTGCCATTCCAATCAGCTTGGTAAACCTCACCATATGAACCTATGCAAAACAAGGCACTATTAAGAGGGATAAAAACTCCTAGATTGAAATATATGTGAGTCCAAAAATAAAATATACCAACACCTTGGCATCAATAACATACATCGTAAGGGCAGAATAATAGTGATGTCATCCATGTCACACAACAACAACTAAAGAAACAAATGTCATATTCAAGGGAAAAAGGGAGGGACGATGCCATGGTTACCCGAAGATCAATTCTTCCAAGTCTTGTCATGACATAAAGCCAGCACAAAGGAAGGCCCGAGTTGTTGGGCAAGAAAAGTTAGAACACCCTGATACAATGATTAAATCATAAACAGCCACCCCCCCCCCCCCCCCCCCCCCCCCACCCACCCAAATTCTCGCTCACTGTACACATATATAAACTCTGGAGACTATTTAAGCAAACGTCATAGAGCTTATTATGCACACACCACATAACACCAACCTGCTTATGATCAATTCTCCAACATGAAAATAAAAGACCAATAAAGAAATATAAATGATCATTGAATTTCCTTACCTAGCCCGATTCTCTCGCCAATAACCAAATCTTCCCAAGGAATTTCACATTCCACAACATCTACATCATCCAAACCGTGCTCCACCCTGTTACTCATGCTTGACTCAAGTGATGAACTAGGACTTTCTATATCCTTTAGTTTCAAATTGCTCCCAAAAAACCTGTCATTTGTCATCTTCATTGGATCCAGAAAACTATTTTTACCATTTTCCTCATCCTTCATTGTGGTACTGTTTTGCCAATGCCTAGCATCTCTTTGATTTTCAGCTTCAAAACCCAAGTCTACTGCCTGACCCATGGGTCGATTCTGATATTGACTACCACCAGATGCCACTTCCGAACTGGAACTAGTATACAAATTTCTCAGTTCACTACCTCTACTGGCTTGATTGGAATTTACAGATGGCTTGGAATTCTGAGCATATGCATTCCGGGGGACATTGGAGCTGGTGGACGATGTGGATGTTTGATTGTAGTTACTTGGTTCACGGTTAATTCTTGGAAACAGACCATCCATATAATCATATTCCCTGTTCCTGGGTACCTCATTGTTCGCATATCGGTTCTTCCACATCAATGGAGCAGGGGGGCGACCAGGAACAACATTTCTCTGGCAATCGGACTTATTATCTCCGGGTTTAGATTGTGCACAATTTTTACCCTTATGAAGTGGATTGAGATCTGAGAAAAGATTATTAGAATCTTCTGACCCATTCTGATTGTAAGGAGCATTAACATTTATCTGAATACCATCAGCAACAGCATGACTTCCATGATTTCCCTTATCCAGTAGATTGGAATGAGTAGCTTTGTTGGCTAACCCGGAAGAACCAACACCAGCATCATCTGTAGAACCAGAATATGAATATGACGGTCCAGCATCTTCCGACCTAGGGAAGCAACCACTCGCTGAAGAGTTTTGACTTGGCCCTTCACCAGGTAATGAGTTTGGTCTTCCTAGTCCAGAATCAGAGGAATAAGGAGCGGGAGCTCTACTGGTACTCAGAATATCAGCAGGAATCAGTGTCCCTGGAGCTGCCATTAGGTCAACCAAAAACTCCCTGAATGCCAAGTAGATTGTTAGATGTCCAAGCATGTGCTGATCAACCAAATGTATCTCTTTGATGAATGTGGATAGAGGTTCGGTTCATTTAGAAAAGGGGTCAGGATGTACACAGACAAGTAAAATCATAGAAAGAAAGGTACAAACAAACGTTGTACATAAACAGAGAGATTCAGAATACAAGGAATCATGTAAGTGCTTAGACATGAGAAATGTAATACTTCTTATAGTCGAATGCTGTGATGGAATTATTGAATTATATGAATATCAACTGATTATTCCATAAACAGGCCCTGTGATTCATTATATCGAACCTTCTCTAGAAAGATGAACTTCATACCGACAAACAACAATGTTCATTATGCAGGAGCCCAAGCTAGGGTGTATGAGGCAAGCTCCACTGCCATTCCGTTGACCAACTATGGTTATTCCATATGAAGCCCATTTTATGTAAGGATATCATCTTGTCCCAAACATATTATATATAAGAGAGATATTAAATGTTGTAAATATGAATGGAAACCTTAGATAAAATTAAATGAATATCGATGAAAAATAAAATCCAAGCGAAGGAAAAATCCATAACCTTTCATCCTCCAACTTGATAATGTTCACAGCATCATCTTCAACTCCAGTGTAATGACTGCCTTTCACCAATCGACAAGGTAGATTTATAGTGTCAGCCAATACCTACCAAGTAACACAGCATTGAAAGGTAAAACTACATGACAACGGTAAGGATGCTCACAGCCAACCTAAGGCCCAAGGTAAAAGCAAGCAGCATCATTTACTCATCAATGAAAGGTGAAACTGACCTTGAAAAGCAATGAGCGATGACGAGATAGACCAATATTTATCGAACCAATGGGCAACACACTTGTATGAAGAACTGTCCTCAACTCGATGCTTCTCTCCATCCACTTTGCCAACATTATGTTAGCATCCTTTACAGGGCCACCCATGTGCCCTGTTACGAGTTCAGCCAGTCGTTGGACCAAAATGCCAATGTCAGTAGCAGTGAAATCTAATGAAATACATTGAGCAACCTGCACCAACTCTTCCAAGTTATGATCAATTGATCGATTCACTACTACTGCTTCAAAGCAAGACGAGCCGGAATTTGTTTCCAAGTCTACAAGAGAAGGCATTTTCCCTTGATTTTCTGAACTTGTGGAGAAGATATCATAAAAGCCATCTACAACCTTCTCTTGGTAATCCAACACGCTATATTCCTGACAAGCAATGCCATGAAGAAAAAACAATAATAAGAGACCAGGTTGACATTGACATCTGTAAAAAGTAATAAATGCTCAAAATAAACAGTTGCCGACCTAAATCATCGTGTCAAAAGCAACTGAACAATTATGAAGAATTCCCACCCAGCCTTCAGCAGTAAGGAAACCAAAAGACAGTATATCCCCAAGCCATTAGTTTGAAACAACAATGAATGAACAAGTAGATAAAAAATGACCAGATTCTCCACTTTTGGCAGTAACTCGCCCACCCACAAATTATACAACACCTGTTAATGGGAACTACTGGTTACGTGTTTCCAACCCGAACATATCGACAACACAATGCCATTCTAGCTCCAATTTACTACTCTAACCCTTAAGCTCACTGCGAACTAAGCATACCCCAAAGAGTAATTAGACATTCACAGTTCAGTCACTAAATCACTAGCCATGACTAGCTGATAAGCGGGTAAACATTCCCAAATTCACGAGCATTAACTTCGAAACAATCAAGAACAAAGTTCAATACCTAGAGTTCTAGAAGAAGGAAAAAAACTCACCCAAAACTGCCTCGACAAGGACTCCGCCGCAGCTTCTCCTTTCTCTCCCGTTCCGTCCATGCAATGATGACGATTCCCTCCCAAGCTCAGTAGCGTAGCCGCTCGGATCTGATCCTTCTCCCGATCATCCCTCCCTACCTCCGAATTCGAAGAAGCGCTGATCGCTAGAGCCAGCTGCATCTGAAACTCCTCCTCGGAAGTAAAGTAGTCCGCGCCAATATTGCCGCCAACGCCGTTTGTATTCCCGACCGGCGACGACTCAGTCACCGGTAACGCCGCCGTCATATTTGCATCAGTAGAAGCAGAAGTCGACGCCGGAGAAGTGGAAGGCGGAGGGCTACTTGGAGCAGCCGGCGCCGATGAAGCTGAAGACGAAGCCGCCCTGTGATCGGAAGCACAAGATTGCGAAGGTGAAGGTGACACGGGGGTTTCGTTCGATCGATGCGGAGATTCGTGGTTTCCCCCTATGTGGAGCTTCTTGAAAATGTGCTTCATTCTTTCCCCCCCGGCGATTTTTCCCTAGGGTTGGCGAAGGCTTTGCTGAATTTGATCTTTGTTCTTCCTTTTCTTCTCCTACTTGTTTCCTGGTCTTCTTTGCCTTTTCTATTTTTCTCGCGTTTTCCCTCACTTTCCCTCGGTTTCTCGTCTCTGTTCTGTTAGGTGTCGAAAGGTCTTCTGTAGAGGCTAGAGAGAGATGAAAAAGTGTAGTTACTTACTAGTTACTACCTAAGAAGGAGAAACTTAACGAAGTGGAATATTGGGGTCCGGATCCTATCAGTAACCGACCTATCAGTAACGGTCAGTAACCGATGATCCGGCTGTCCATCGCGCCATCTTCCCAGCCGTCAGATCATGCCAGTTAAAATACATGCGGGGGCAAAAACGTAATAACGTCTCTGACAATTTGAATTACAGACGTGACAGCGACAACCGTCCCGCCTTCTCTCCTTCTTCCTCTCACCTTTCAAGCGACAGTTCCACTTCCCTCTCTGCTCTCTAACTCTCCATTCTTCCTCCCGATTCTCAATTCTCTCACCAAAAATCGCAGCAAAAACTTCCAGAAAAAACTTCAAATCGAACGATTTTCGCAAAGGATTTCGAAGAATCATTCAACGATACACTGTTCTCGCTTCTTCGTCGAAAAACGAAGAGTTTCCAACTTCAACGAGGCTCAAAAATCGTTTTCGCACAAAATATCAAGGTAAAACCTCACTTCTTTCTTCGAAATCCATCCACAGAACAATAGAACAGTATCGCAGTCACTCTCCATGAGTTGCTGAACTGATGTAGAATCTGTTGTGTTTTGCTTCATTACCATATGGTAATGACTGGTAAATTAAGATTGCATGTTCTAAAATAACAAAAAACCATAAGTCCTGCTGTGTTTTGTTCGTTACCATATGGTAATGTGTGGTAAGTTATGATTGCATGTTGTAAAATAGCAAAAAACCATAAGTCCTGCTGTGTTTTAGTTTGTTACCATATGGTAATGTGTGGTAAACTATGCTTTCATGTTGTAAAATAGCAAAAAACCATAAGTCCTGCTGTGTTTTGCTTCGTTACCACATGGTAATGTGTGGTAAACTATGGTTTCATGTTGTAAAATAGCAAAAAACCATAAGTCCTGCTGTGTTTTGCTTCGTTACCATATGGTAATGTGTGGTAAACTATGGTTTCATGTTGTAAAATAGCAAAAAACCATAAGTCCTGTTGTGTTTTGCTTCGTTACCATATGGTAATGTGTGGTAAACTATGGTTTCATGTTATAAAATAGCAAAAAACAATAAGTCCTGCTGTGTTTTACTTCGTTACCATATGGTAATGTGTGGTAAACTATGGTTTCATGTTGTAAAATAGCAAAAAACCATAAGTCCTGCTGTGTTTTGCTTCGTTACCATATGGTAATGTGTGGTAAACTATGCTTTCATGTTGTAAAATAGCAAAAAACCATAAGTCCTGCTGTCTTTTGCTTCGTTACCACATGGTAATGTGTGGTAAACTATGGTTTCATGTTGTAAAAATGGAGGAAAACATACATCCTGTTGTGTTTTACTTCGTTACCATATGGTAATATGTTATAAGACATGGTTTGATGTAATTACCATATGGTAAAATGAGATAAATATATGGTTTGATTTGGTATGGTAGGAAACCATTATGGTACCATATGGTATATCATGATAAAAAGCACGCTAACAGACTATTCCTAATTTCTACATTCAGGTACACTATGGTAAACCAAAGAAAAAATTTTCGCACAAGGTGCAGCCCAACAAGAATATCTGCAATTGCAAGGACTATAAAAGATGACCAGAATGAGAAACTTGAGACATTAGGCCTAGCAGGCTTAATATCAATCAAGCAGACAAAGATAAACACCCATTTTGCACTGTTCGTAATGAACAAATACAATCCAATGAAACAATCTTTCAGGCTACCTGACGGGACACGCATGAAGATATCACCAATCGACTTTCATAGGGTATATGGTCTGCCAATGGGGAATAGGGAAGTTGTACCTCCCACGATTTCTTGGGACGATGCAGCAGATTATGCAGTAGAAACCCTACTGGAAGTAGATGGAGCATCCACTCCAAGGGTAAAGCTAAGTCAGGTAGAAAAAGATCTTTCTACAGTTACCAACAGTAGGAGATGGTTACAATTATTCTTTCTGCTGGTCACCGGAGGCTTGTTGTGCCCAACTTCAGCCCCTATGGCTGATCTCAACATGCTTGAGTACTTGAAGACTGATGAACAGAAACATTTCACCAGCTACAACTGGTGCAAATACTTCTTCAACCACATGAATGAAGGATTGAAATCATCAAAGCTCTACGTCAATGCATATCTTCACTTCCTTACAGTAAGTCTCCATTCCCTTGGCCATTTCAACCTTGTTACTCATATATTTTATATATAAATGATACTCTTTGAAAAAACTAATACAACTATCTGCATAAAAAGGTATGCTTCATGTACAAACTGGACGAAATGGCATTCTCAACCCAGCTTCGAACACCAACAGTAAGCTACTATGATGATAACAATGTTGATAGCAACTTTGAGAACATTAAGAGCTACTACAATGGAAAACAGTTGAACGAGATCGAAAAGATTGCCAACATTAAAGAGGATGAGGCTGATGATGAGGCTGATGATGAGGCTGATGACGCAGCTGATGACGCAGCTGATGAGGAAGAGGAGAATGAGCCAGTCTATGAATCACCGAAAAGACAAAGAAACAAAAGTCCCGAGCAGTCATCATCACTGAACTTTGATTTGAAGAATATCAGAACAGTCAACCAAGTAAGTACAAATTATCTATATTACAGTTGTCCAATACATGCTAAGCGTAAGTCCTGTGTTTTAGTTTGTTACCATATGGTAAAGTGTGGTAAGCTATGGTTCCATGTTATAAAAATGGAGCAAAACATAAGTCCTGTTGTGGTTTACTTCGTTACCATATGGTAATGTGTGGTAAGCAATGGTTTCATGTTATAAAAATGGAGGAAACCATAATTCTTGTTCTGTCTTACTTTGTTACCATATGGTAATGTGTGGTAAGCTATGCTTTCATGTTTTAAAAAAACAAAAAACAACAAGTCCTGCTGTGTTTTAGTTTGTTACCATATGGTAAGGTGTGGTAATCTACGGTTTCACGTTATAAAAATGGAGGAAAACATAAATCCTGTTGTGTTTTAATACGTTACCATATGGTAATGTGTGGTAAGCAATGAATTCATGTTATAAAAATGGAGGAAACCATAATTCTTGTTCTGTTTTACTTTGTTACCATATGGTAAGGTGTGGTAAGATATAGTTTCATGTTATAAAAATGCAGAATAGTGATAATAATTGCCAATACCATGTATTACCACCATGGTAACTAACCATACTCCCATTATGCAGGCTGAGAATGCAATCAAACTGGTTGAAGCATCAATGAAGGCAATGATGAAAGCAATAAAAGACCAGTACAAAAGCCAAATTGAGAATCTGATCAGACACAAGGAGAATCTTGCGAAAGAAAGTTGTGATGAATATGTTCAGCCCACAGAAGGAGAAAAATCTAAGTGTGAAGATGATGAAGAAGAGAATGGTGAAGAAATGCATGACAGTTTGAATAAAACACTCAATGAAATATTCAAACAGACAAACATAGACCAGAACGAAGAGGAGAACGAGGAGCAAACACAGAAAGAAGATGATTCACAACCATCTACAGTCGATCTTGCTGCATCTACACCGAAGCCAAAAGAAAAGGAGCAAGATGATTCTGCTCCAGGAGCTGTGAATAGAGAAAGCATCCCAAAAGAAGGAGATCCACTGGGGGAAGTTGCAACAGAGGACACCCAGAAAGCAGTTCCAGAACAGACATCTGCAGAAGAAACCGAACAAAAAGGAGCTACCAAAACAGCAGATGCAATGGAAGTTGATAAGGAAACAAGAGAAGAAGGGAATACAGGGCAAGCTGCACAAAAGACTGCAGAAACTGACAGCAAGAAGACGGTATCAGATGATGTTGTTCGTGAAGAGGCTCCAAAACTGACAACCGAAGCTGCTGAGAAGCCTAAAGTGACGAGGGAAGACGACATTCCATCCTTTGATCTCAGCCCTCTCAACCGTCAAACACCAACAACACCAACAAAGTTGACTACCAACACAGCAACCGATCAACCAGCAGAGCCTCGCAAAAGAAGAATCGTGATAAAGAATGTACACGGAAATGAAAAGAAGGCAAGAGCAACACCACCACCAGAACAGCCACAAAGCACCCAGTCACAGACGGGGTCATATGCTATATGGTCAAATCTGTACACAAACAGCCAAGAGAAGCTCAAGGAAGTCCGTGAATGCATAGATGCTTACCTAGAGGACCTGAATTCTCCAGCTGCCGACCCAGTCGCTCCACAGTCACAAAAATCACCAGTTGAATGGTCAACACCAACACAAACAACACCTGATGATATGTTCAGCAACATCCTGGAGTACATAAGATGCAAAAACAAGAAATTTGCCAAGAGGTAAGTCATCATCTTAAAACTTCTATTGTTATATGATGTTATTGTAGTGATCTAGTTTGTTACCATATGGTAAAATATGGTAAGATATGGTAAAATTAGATAAATCTATGGTTTAATGTTACAAAATGTAGTAATGCACAAGTCCTGTTTTGTTTTAGTTTAATACCATATGGTATGATGTGGTAAGCTAAGGTTTGTTGTTAAAGAATGGATTAAACTATAACTCCTGTTCTATTTTACTTATTACCATATGGTAAAATGTGGTAAGCTGGTGTGTTTATTTATTACCATATGGTAAAATGTGGTAAGCTGGTGTGTTTTACTTATTACCATATGGTAAGATGTGCTAAGCTGGTGTGCTTTACTTATTACCATATGATAAGATGTGGTAAGCTATGGTTTTGTTGTGGTAACCTATTGTTTGATGTGATAAATTAAAGTAAACCATTCGTCCTGTTGTGATGTGCTTGTATACAGTGATGAGATAATGTTTAAAAGGAAGGATGGAACATTCATGCTGAAAAGGGAGTCAGTACAGTCAATTGACATTGGCTGTGAAATCACATCTGATGTCATCGGCTGGTATGGAGATGTAATGAACAGGAATGAAGCAAAAAAAGGAAAATTCACAAGGTGGTTCTTCGATACATCTTTGGCAGTAAGTAAACCCACCCATATTCTGTCAAAAGTTCTTAGACAACACATATATAAAACACATAATAACAA